AGTCAGGTTTAAAACAAATGAACTGATAAACTGGAAGGATGACGTTCATGGGTTGGTTGAATATTACTTAGCAACTTTATTAAGTTTGCATTATTAAATGCAAATGTCCAGTGTTAAATGACAAAATAACTGCTCGTCCTAACGTTTTCTTATTACCTGACTTCACTAGCCAAAGTTTCTTCTGTGCTGATGATGAAACACAAAACCTCTGAAATTACAATTAGCATAATTTAAAATAATCCATAGTTAAATTAAATAAAAAATACTTTTAGTTATATATAGGACCCAGTTACTATACTGTCAGTGGGTAGAAGTTACTCCGAACAGAGAGGAGGAGGTTTGCTTGGAGACTGGAGTTCTTTATTGTTTTTTACTTTAAAAAAAAAAAAAAAGCTTAAATGACCACTTTGCTAAAACTCTAGGAATAGGTATTCATCACTGAATTAATGTCTCCTTCGTCTTTTGATTGGCAATACGCAAATGCTTTTTGTTTTGCCTTTGCTTTGCAGCGGAGGTGAAGCGTGTTGGCGACACTGTGCTGGGAATGGCTACGCAGTGTGTTCAGATGAAAAACGTACAGAGAACGACACCGCAAACTCTGTCTAACCTTTGCTTAAAAATAAATGTCAAATTAGGAGGCGTAAATAATATTTTACTGCCACAGGGAAGGTAAGACCTTTCACAGAAGAAGTGGGTGTTGTATTGTAAAGAGAACATGGATCATATTAACATAAAGTAGGTGCTTTTATCTGTAGTTGATAGCACTGGTTTTTAAGTCAAGCTATCTTTCGGGTTCCAGCATGGTCCTGCCAAAGCTGGAGTATAAACACTGGCGAAAAATAGTTGTTCCAATTGAAATGTGTAAGAAAAAGTAATAAAATATTTTATTTGCGATCTGACCATTGAAGTTTGCAGCTTTCATTTGAAGGAAGAATGTATATATGTATTTTTTCACTTTGAGTGTTTAGAGCCATGTAGAAAACATCCTGAATGCGATTTTTCTCTATAGTTTAATTGTGATTAGGTTTCTTCATTCCGTTGCGTGTCTGGACTTACATGGACATTTGAAAACGCAAGCAGAAAAGACTAATTCATTTCCAGGTCCAATTTACTTTGCAATTTCTTATTAGGATTACAGCGGTAAGCTTTAGTTGTACCGTGATTATATTCTGGAAAGCTGCTTTGATACTATGGAATTCCATGTTTAACAGATCAACAGATGAAATAGTATCTTATTTGTAAAAACGAGTGGACCCTCTTGTTCAAGATTCTACAGGGTTTGTGTGTCACCTCGTAACAAACGTTCTCAAACGGAAACTTTTCATCAGGTTTATGGGGAAAATCAATTCCAAAAGAATTCTGATGGAAAACGGGACAAAGTTCAGCTTGTTTTATCTTACCTGCGTAGGATAGAGAGGGCTAGCATAAAGATATGTATAGCTAGTTGAATCAAAATGAACGGCTAGGTCTCTGCTTCAGTAAAAAGATGGAGTCTTTACAATCCTGGCACATCAAGCTGTAGAGAGCTCAAGGAATAACCTGCCGCATCGTTCTTGGGATCCTGTTTCAAAGAAGTCAACACCCTGTTTTGCTCAGATAAGCAAATGTTTGCTTCATATTTAGGCTAGTCTGAAGGCAGCTACTGAAAAATAATCCAACAGCAAGAACCTGGGGGTGGGAAAAAGCACTGTTATCAGAGGGGGTGCATGTTTTGTGTACCGTCTAAATTCCGTCCATAATTAAATTATAATTAAATTCTAAATATACTCAGCTTGGATAATGCACTTGTCTAAGTATCCTCTGTTAAAGCGACTAAAATCTTTGTATTCCAGAGCAGGCACTTCGAAAAGGCACAGAGTTTTGGTTTTTTTTTTTTTTTTTTAAGTTAAAAATATAGATACCGCTGTAGAAGCAAAACAAAAATAGACGCGCACCATATCAGCAGTTTAATGTCATATCCCTAGACGTTTCAGAGAAGTGGATTTTGGGGTCACTTGTATCGGAATGTTTTAACTATTATTTTCTGTTGGTTGTTTTATTTTTGGCGGGGGGGAGGAATAGAGCAGTTTTCTATTTGTATAATTATATTATAAATTACATTATAATAATAACCTTGACATACTTTTTAGAAAAGGTCTGACAACAGCGGCATCTATCTGCATAACTGTTCCCCCCGCGCATCCACATCCATAGAAAGATTTGGTGGCCTAAAATCTCCCAGTTAAAATCAAGTGTTTTGTTAAGCAATAGAGTTAAAGCTTCACATTTGCAGTGCAGTGTTCTGGTGTTCTACTTTTGACGAAGTAATTTAATATCTTGATTTAACTAAAACTGTGAAATTTTTTTAAATCTATTTTTAAAATCATTCCTATAACATCCAGATTTTTCATACTTCCTTACCAGCGCTTTTTTTTTTTTCCTTTTCCGTGCAAATTCATAGTGGTTGTATATATGCGCAGTCCTTTAATTTTCTCATATGTTGCTTGATGCTAAGAGAACAGCTTTTTAACCCTTTCTGTGGTCTAATTCATGGAGGCTGCAATTCTGACTTCAAAATATTTTTTTCACTCATTTTGTATAAAAATTAACAGTTAGCAGTTAGCCATGCTTTAAAAATATGTGCAAGTACTTAGTATTTAGCATGGGAACCCTAATCAGGACTCTAAGCCCTGTCGCGGTACAAATGATCAACTCTGGACACGTGCAAATTGTTGACTAATTCTTGTCTATACTGCAGGAGTGTAAAATGCTATTTATTTGAGTTATAACATGCTCTGCTGAGAGTAAGCCTTGCTGCTTTTACAAAGCCACTTTTTCTTTTCCAGACCACCAGTATTTCAGCAGCCTGTCATATTCCTTGGTGCAGATGTAACTCATCCGCCAGCTGGGGATGGAAAAAAGCCTTCCATTGCTGCAGTGAGTAAACTATAATAATTTTTAACCCCTGCTCTCCCTGGCTGCTCAGTTTCAATTGATTTCTTCCCATTTGGTGCTTACTTTCAAGTACTCTAAGTTCTTGTTCTTCTTATTGCCTAATGACAGCCTTATGTGTTATTTTTCTGGAGAATCTAATGTAACTTCGAGGATCTTGCTCTGATAATAATTACCTAAATGTATGTATTAGCTTGGGAAATGCTCGAGATACTAATACACGGAGGAGCTTTATTTATCAGTCGATATTTATCAGTGACTTCTAATAAGTCAGTGTATCTTTAAAACTGCTTTTTCAGCAGTTAAAAATGTGTCCGTTACTGCTAGTGAATTATGCTGGCCCAGTTATGTTTTTTGTTGATTCATGCTTCCTGACAAAACAAATTGGGTGGTAATCCCTTGGAAATGTACTCCTGGTATATATGAAAGGGCCTTTGACTTGCATTATGTCATACATCTGTTTTAAACTGTTTTCTTAACTTGGTTTAAAAAATTACACACGAGTGCAGAGAAAGCCAGGTGGAATTGTGCTTAGTTGTGATCTTTGACACATGAGGTTTGGATTTTTAGGATGGTGCCATTTTTTAAACTGTGTTAATTTTGAGGCTTCATGAACAGAAGATTTTCTTCTGTAAGAACAGTGTCTCTTCTGTGTGGACGTTTCAATGGAGGCTCACCGTGGGCTCTTCCACAGTGCCAGAGCTTCCAAAAGGGAGCTGCTCTTCAGGAGTTCAAATTTGGATGGTGCAGAACTAAAAAAAACGATAGTTTCATGGTATCTGGGCTCCAAATGTTATTAGTGTTTTCAGCTGCACGTAGGTGCAAGTAGGAAATTAGTCTATTATGTTTCAAAAAAAGTTCTCAGCTTCAGCAAGGTATGTTACCACAGGTAGACTGAACTCAAAGCTCTTCCCAAGCTAACTGTGATTTTGACTGCGTCTTTGCTTGGTCAACCCCTTAGATTGTAAGTTACTGTTAAAAAGACAGTTTGCTTATTGTCATGGAATAACTTTTATTAAAGTGCTTTCAAATTTGTTTTGGGGCTAAGTTCTGTTTTTTGTTTTTTCTTTGCCCTTCCCCCCAACAGGTTGTAGGGAGCATGGATGCTCATCCTAATCGATACTGTGCCACTGTCCGGGTCCAGCAGCACCGCCAAGAAATCATCCAAGATTTGGCTGCCATGGTCAGAGAGTTGCTTATTCAGTTTTACAAATCAACCAGATTTAAACCAACTCGAATTATTTTCTACAGAGATGGTGTTTCTGAGGGCCAGTTCCAACAGGTTACGCTTTTATTTTAAGATCGTCGTTATGTAGCTTTCTGTAGAAGACTTTCCAGTAGATGTAGTTCTGTGTAGTGGAGCTATGAAAAGAAGTATATCAAACCTTCCCTCAACAGACGGGTTGGATTCTATCCAAGAGGAGCGGGGAAAGTGTTTTCCTATTTTTCAGGAGCTTTTTATATTTTTTTGCCCTTAAAATACTTCCCTGTGCACGAATGAAACGGTGAAGTATAATTTTAATGTTGAACATCTGTGACTTATTCAAGATATGTTAGTCAAAGTGGATCCCATAGAACATAGACAGTAAAGAAAGACAAGGTGTAAGCTAATATTCTTAATTTTCTCCGGATTTTATAAATCTTGTATTTTCACATTGTCACTATTTATTTATTCTCTATAAAATTTAACAGATATCTTCTTATATTTATTTTACTTGCTTACAAGTAGCATGTTTTACAAAATATTTTTAAGATATTTACATATGCTTTCCTCTCCAGTATTTTTATACATAAATTAAAAAATACAGAACTTGGTAAACATCTTAAAATCTAAGGAGGAGTGAGGAAAGGGCGCTTAATAGACTTGGGTTAGTAAAACTCAGCTTTGTAATGAACTTCAATTTTTTTTTTTTTCAATTTTTATTGGTTCTTGTGGTCCACCATATGAATTCACAAAGCAGGCAGACATTATTCACTTTAGCAATTCTGGATTTTTTTACCCTTGGACTAATCTGAAAAATAATTAGGCTGTTGGATATTCAACAATCCAATTAAATGTTCATTTCTGTCTGGCGGTTAAAAAGGTTTTGACATCCAGCTTATTAGTCCAAGCCGCATGCGTAGAGTTGTACCAATATGGAAGCTAACTCTGGGCTGGCTCAGCAAACTGGTCGTCTAACTTGTTCTCCTCAAGTGAAGAAGTTAAGATTTGATCCTGCATGCACGGACGTTTCATTGCTCTGAGTGACAATGCAAGAAGGGACGTTATAAATAGGAGTAATTAGTAGAAAACTATCTTTCATATTTATCGCACTTTATTTTTTATGATTCAGGTTCTCCATCATGAATTGCTGGCTATTAGAGAAGCATGCATTAAGCTAGAAAAGGATTACCAGCCTGGAATTACGTTTATAGTTGTGCAGAAAAGGCATCACACCAGACTCTTCTGCACAGATAAAAATGAACGGGTACGTTGTAATCTCTGACTAGCCGAATTGCCTACATGCTGTATTAAAATTTTGCTGCTTAATTAAATAGTCAGGGACCAGTTGGAGGAAGTACAAAAGTGGGATCTTTCTGCCTGCAGAGGAAAAACATCCTTTTCCGTTTTTATTTTTTACGATAACATGGCATGAAGCTTTTGTGGAAACACTGCAGAATGTGTCATTCAACGCGTCTGTACATCCTTTTTTGCAATCTCAAATTCTTCCGGCTTCCTTTCGGTTTTTTGTACTGGCTCAAGCTCCTCAAGGGTTGAGATTGATCTGAGCAAAGCAGAGTCTTACGGTGAAGGTACCTACATCCAAAATAGTTACTTCAGGCGCTCTTTTAAGTTAATGGCGATGTAGTTAGTATTGCCAACACAGTTTAAGGCACAGTTCATGTGAGGCTGAAGCAGACGGTTCTTCTGAGTTCGTTAACTGAAGAGTGGCTCTTGGGTAACCGGCTGAAATGTAGACACGTGCGCAGTAGATACATAAATTGGGTAAGATGAACTCTGCAGTTTGAGAATTTTTTCTTTTCCATTAATGCTACCTTTAAGATGTTGTAGGTGTCTAATATCTTGGACACGTGGAATTCGGTTGGGGCATATCAAGTGTCACAACACAGTCTGAAGTGTTCAGTACTACAAATAGTTTTATGAATGTTTCTTAATCCTTATTATAACTCTGTGAAGTACACGCAGAAGTATTTGTTTCATCCGTTTGAGGTTAGGAGACTCTCCAAAGCTAGGCTGGAGTCACTGTTGGAGGTGAGAAGTAGGTTCTTTTTCCTGCTGTCAGGCTTTTCCATGTGAGCCTTTGAAGCCCCACTAGGCTTCAAGGCAGTAATTAGTTACTTTTAATGCTGATGTGTATGTGTATCATTATTCAAAACACACAATGTGCTGTAGATTGTCGTTGTTAAAATATTTTAAAGAGTATTTTTAAGTTCTACTTTTATGTAAAGAATATTTATAAGGGAAAGGGAGGCCTCCCTTGCAGCCATGGCCTGTCCTCTTTCAAGAATAAACAAGAAAAGTTACAGTGAAATAATCTCTCTTGCAGTGGGAAGGTGAAAAGGATTTGACAACTCAGTCGCAGGAAGTTCTTTTTGCATTGATCAGAAAAGCTAATTTTTATGGGTAACTTCTAAGAAGATTTTGCAGCTTTTTTTCTTTTTCTCTAGTAGAGACATTCCAGATTTTTATGTGAAGAAAATTTCATTTTTACTGATTCTTTTTTGACTTTTGGTTTTTACTGTGTTTTTTTTTTTTTTTTTTTTAAGATTTTTGTTGTGTTTCTCTTCTTACTGCACGGCTATAAAGAAGAGTTTGTCTGAACCTTACTATATTTGCACTTTTTGTTCTCGCAGGTTGGAAAGAGCGGAAACATTCCAGCAGGTACCACAGTGGACACAAAAATCACCCATCCGTCAGAGTTTGACTTTTACCTGTGTAGTCATGCCGGTATTCAGGTAGGGCGTTTTGTGGAGGATGAAAACTTTCAACGATAACGTCGGCTGTTGGCATTATATGTGTGTTATATGTGTTACAGACAACAAATGACACAGCTTTTGTCTATGTATTCCTGCTTTTCTCTGGGCCACCCATGATGCTCTTCTCTGGTTCTTAAAACCTGAAAGAATCAACGAAAGTAAACAGATATGAAGTGCAGCCTGTGCATTTAGCTTGCTGCGCTTCGCTCGTGTCTGTTTGCTGCAGTAAATAGTAGCACGGTAGTCTGGCTATTTCACATAGCTGCTTCCGGATAAATGAAGCATGCTCTAAAATATCTTTGTTCTCGCCGTGGACTGCAAAAGGAGTCTAAACCGCTAACGCGCATACATACAGATGCACCTTACTTTCATTCTTTACCCTTTTGCTTATCTAGAAGTTATCTCACGTCTGTAGCTGAACGTTATAAGAGACAAAGTGCCTCTTGCATTAATTTCACTTGAAACGTGTATCCAACTGCTAGGACGTAACTAGTGCTTTTAGATATCACCGCTGTAGTTTCGCGTTTTCCTGTGATTTCTTCTTTGCAATCAGAAGCAGCAACAATTAAACAGTAGCAACAGTACTGAAAGTCAAAATTGAATACTTTTATGTAACGATTCTTCAACATGGGCACAAATTAAATTGCTGTTAGCTATTAACGTTTTGCATAGAGCTACTTTGTCGGATGGCTTTTTGTCAAATTTACGTTTCACAGGATCAAAGTTTATTTCAGTAAAACTGTTTAATTTGACTAACACAGATGAAATTCTAGAAGATGCAATCCTGTGCCAAAATGCAAAGGGATTAGTTATGTGGGGAGCAAGCAGGGAGATTGCTGCATTTTTAAATGAAAAATTTGTTGAAATACGGGGAATCGATAGCATGTAATTTTGAGGAAGTAGCCTGTTATATTGCGGTTCACCTGGCGAGGTGGGAAGTTAGAGAGGTTTTCTGAAGTGCTGATGTCCTCTGTGATCTGCCTTCAGGGAACAAGCAGACCTTCTCATTACCACGTCCTCTGGGATGACAATCGTTTCTCTTCAGACGAACTGCAGATCCTTACCTACCAGTTGTGTCACACGTATGTACGCTGTACTCGTTCCGTTTCAATCCCTGCACCAGCATACTACGCGCACCTGGTTGCCTTCAGAGCCAGGTATCATCTGGTGGATAAAGAACACGATAGGTGAGTTGCATGATTTTGAATTATCGCACGATTTGAAGGCGGTAGGAAGGAAATTGACTTGTTAACTCTGATATCAGTGGTATCCTCAGGTAGCAGTTTGAGGGTAAATTTGGTCTTTCCACGGAATTACACTGTGAAAGAATGGAAGATGCTTCTGTATCCTTCTGTGCTTTCTTCTCTTTCAGAACTGGTGTGCTTTAACAGTAATTAACTTTTGACTGTTCAGAAGTGTTTGACAAGCAAATAGTATATTTAAGGAGAGACGGATTAAATAGGGCTTCTCTTCACCTTCCTACCTCCCCTTTTTTTGTTTTTGTTTTTTTTCCCCTCCCTTCTCTTTCAGTGCTGAAGGAAGCCACACTTCTGGTCAGAGTAATGGCAGAGATCATCAAGCACTTGCTAAAGCAGTTCAAGTTCATCAGGACACATTGCGCACTATGTACTTTGCTTGACATGTTTTAATGTTTAGCGACTCAGTACAATACAGAGTTGGATTCACACGAGACCAGCTGCACTTAGACCAACAGTTGCCCAAGCTACAGTGACAGCCAGCAATGAGTGATGCATCTTAATTTTTTTTTCCCGTTTGCAAGAAAGCCTTCCGTCCAGAATTTCAGACTTGATTATGAACTGCATTCTTCTACAAAACCTCACAATTTTTGGAAATGTGGTTTGCCAAAATCTCTAAGCTGCTTGTTATAAAACAGACCCATATTTTATATTAAATCAAGAGCTGTGATCTCAGGGCTTAGGGAAACTCCCCCCCCCCCCCAAAAAAAAAAAAAAACCTCTTCTTTCAGCTTGCTTTTCATTTTAATTGCTTTTAAGAATTTGGAAAGATCTAATTCACACTAAAGTTGATGGGCTACAATGCTGTGAACTAGCTTTTAATACAAAGGAAAGCAAAACGTTTTTTGACTATTTATGCCTTGATTATTCTAGATGCATTTACAAAATTTTTATTTTCAAAAGGAAGAAGTGACAAAATTCTGGTTTTCAACTGTCTTAAAAAGATTATTCTCTGTGTGTCTAAGGGCAAACGTATTTTCTGAAGCTTGTTCTTGAATGTTTTTTATTGTGCTGCATTTAAAAATGTTTTTAATAGACTAAATATGAAATTTAAAAAAAGGAGAAAAAAAAAAAAAAGAACTTGTACTTAAACTTTTAATAGGTCCAGTTAGATTGGCAAAAGAAAAGGTGCCATTTAAAAAAAATTTGTAAAGAATTTTTTTTTCTTTTTAATCATACTGACAGCTAATTTTAGGATTTGTCATACAGGACTGTGACACTTACTTTCCAAAGTCTCTAAAGAATACGGGTCTGTGGTGATAAATACAGTACAATCCTTTTTCACTGTTATGTTTGAATTAATGTAAATTTTATATATGTTTCACAGTATTAATGTGATAGACTAGATGCTATTATTTATTTTTTATTTACTAAGGAGTGCTCATTATACTTCTGTTAACATATCAAGAATGCTTTGGATTTAGAAATTAAAACCTTACTGTGGGGACATGGCTGGTTCAAACGCAGAAATATGCAAGCGACCTTGACGTGAGAGTTCAGCGATACGGACAGTGCATGGCGGTAGGGCTCGTAGCTTGTAGCAAGGCTTTTTATGCGCGCGCGCGCTGTGGCGGGTTTTTTACCCTGTGCCGTTCGGAGACGCACGCGCGAGACCAACGTTCTGCATTCGCTCGAGCACAAAACAAGTCGCGTTTAATTTCTGCGTTGATTCCTGGTGAAGCAGGCGCCCCAGCGGAGGAGGGTGGGTCACCCTTTGTAACGCAGACCCGAGTCGGAGAATCTATGCAGTAAAGACAAACCTTAGGAAACTCGAGTTTACTTACGAAGGGGGGCGAAGCTCTCTTCGTTATGCATGAGGTCAAGAGGAAACGCGAGTTTGGCCGTTCTCTTAGGAGAAGCATTAATTCAAACCGGTGATTCTTAACGCAGACGCTTCCATTAGTTTGCACACTGGGTCCCTAACAAACTGTAACGCAGAGGTAAACCATTGCACTAATCGTGATGCCGCGGGCTGGCTTAGAGGAGACCGGAACAAGCCCAGGAGCCTGGTCGACGCTGACTTGGTTTCGTCTGTTTTTCGTAGGGTAGCTGAAATCCCTGTTCAGAGGCACGCTTTTTGAGTTGGGTTCTCTTCCGCCGATTTGGTTTGCTTTCTCTTTTCTCCCAGCAGATGCTCAGCCGCTGTTCTGAGTACGTTTACCTCTAGCCGCGGAGCTGGGCAAAGAGCCTGAAGCGATACCGAGGTCTGTGCCACGTAGTGGATAGGTGAGAACTGGTTGCTCTTGAATAAGCTAGAAAATGCCCACTTTTGCTGCCTAAAAGCTTTAGGTACGTAGCTTTGTGCAGGTTCAGCTCTTCACCCTGTAGCGCAAGTGTCTTGCGTGTCGTCGTTGTTTAGCTGAAATAACAATGTCAATTCTATTAACAGAGTAAATGTATTATTCTTCTTATCGATTAGGTTTGTTGGGTCAGAGTTTCTTCTTGGTCGTAGTTAGGTAAATCCAGATTTAACATTATGCTGGTGTAACAGAAAGCAAAGTCCGGGTCGCGCTTCTGCCTTTCTGTTTTCCGGCCAGGCTGCACATAACCCCCTTAAAATACTGCTAAGCTGCAAAAGCTTTTCCGGAACAGATAAATTGTACTTCTTTGTGTGTTTGCTCGGGAGGTTTCAGAATTCAGCGAGGATCTTAATTTGGCAAAGTTTTATATATGATTTTTTTTTTTTTAACCAATTATTCTTAGCAAAATAGGAAGATGATCAGCCATTTTACAGCTCTGTTTCTTTTATTTGCTCGTCATTTAGGCAGGGACCTCTTGGATGTGAAATTCGTCCTCCTCTTTCCGCAAACCGGCAACTGAAATGCTTTTATATAGGCGGTGAGAGAGGGGAGGAGGACGGATCCCAAACCTTATCTCAGAAGCGGGCTGCTGAGCTTTGGTTGTACCCTATTTTGGAGGTATTCTCTGGGCTGGAATAGGTGTTGCAGCTCCTTTGGTGAGAAGAGGAGCATTACGCAGACCCTTGATCTGAGCTTGGCTCTACACCCTGTTGGGATGAGGAGAAACTTTGCGTAGCTTGCTTTCCCAGAGTACAAAGAAGTTGGGATGCAGTTCAGATTCCGGATATTTTTGCAGCTTTTTTAAGCCTGTAGCACTGTTAACTCTTTAGCTTTGATTTCCCTGCCTGCCCCCCCCC